GTAAATGAACTACGACGCTAAGGCATTGAAAATACCATGGGGCTTTCTTGTTTAAGCTATTCACTAAATCCATAAGAATATTTCAAATGGAAAGAACTGGATCACTGAACTGCTCATAACTCTAGGGTTTATTTGAATATAAGACTATTCAGTGCACTACATCCAGGGTTCTGTACAAAAGTAAATTTATTAAAACCATTTGATCAGAATCTGTTGAATAGAAATTTTCAAATTCTATCAGTGTCACTTGACACCAGTGCTCAAATACATTTTATTATTATTATTATTCAGATTATGAATTTTGTGGGAATTTGGACTAATTTTTAATGTAGACATTGTTGTGAGCCATCCATCACAGAATCATTGAATACCAGAGAGGGCTGGACCGCTGTCTCATCCTGTTATGGGGCTTTTCAACAGTGTATACCCATATCCACACTGACCAGAGATCAATGAAGCCAGGACATTCAGGTTACAAGGATAAATTCATTCAGAATTAAGTTGGAATTAAGCTGGAATTCAATCACCTGTGAATTGTAACTTCTGCCAGTTTGTGAGATGATAGTGTGGTGAGAGCTGTCTACTAGCCAAATTGGTAGACAGTAATTTACGTCAATATTTACGTTCCCAAGATTTGTCGTGAGAAAATGTGAACAAAGATTGATTCAAAACCGACCACAGTAGATTTTGCGTAGGCGGATGCAGTTAACATATAGAGGATTTGACATTCAAGAAACAGTCACAAATAGATGAAAGATTAACTTTACGTGAGAAACAACCAATCGGAAGACTGTGTTTGTTTACTTAAATATCCATAGTAGTGTACATGAAAATATATAAATATGCGTTGATTTCCTTAATAAATGATCTGTTGCCTGACTCTTGCCTACTGTCGTTACAATAGAACTGCCACCAATCAATTAGGTCGCTGAGCATCCACCCCACCTTGACATGGTAGACTCTATTGGCCAAGACTTCTTACTGGAACTTTAAGACATCTATTCAGTTACCACTAATTAACTGTATAGACTGATATCCAGAAGCTGCAGAAGTTAAAATTCACTTGTCATCGTTCATTTCATTCCAGTGTCTGAATAGTCAATGAACCAGTCTAGTAACCTAAAGGTCTTAGGTGTGTGTGTGTGTGGTCCAAGATGTGTACGTTGAGAAGTTTCAAAAGTAGTATGAAACAGTGGTTCAGTGCTCCTTGACTTTAAGTGATTCTTTAACTGATGTTAGCTGGTGACGAAATATACAATGGAGTTGTTATCATCCGCCCCTAGACAAATTACAGTGCCAAAGAAGAAACTGTTTATGAGTCTGGCATTCAAAGGTGACACCATTTCGGAATTGATTAAAAGTGGTTTATCTAAATGTATTAAGCTTACTTTCCCTGCAGCTGACTTACAACTATTTTTTACCAGCCGAAATATGATTAGACAATGAGTCAAGGATAGATTACCGCGTTTGTCCACATCTATGTGTATTTACTTTTTTACCTGCTCTTGTGGAGCTGTTTATATTGGACGTTGTAAGCGTAATCTCCGAAAACGTGTAGCCGAACACTATCCAGTCTGGTTAATGAAAGGTGAACGTAGAACTGCGAAGTCGTCTATCTGTGATCACCTGTTAGAGTCAGGTCATTTAGCCCCACGTGATTCATCTTTCAAAGTTATCTACATGGTAAAACCGAATCGATCCAAAAGTTTACGTTTTCTTCACTTATGCATAGCCGAAGCTTTAGCTATACATGAACAGAAACCTAAATTATGTGTTCAAAAACGTGTTGTCAAACCCTCTTCTTCACCTTGGTCATAGTAATGTTCTTTCTAGTTTTTACTTTATTTTATTTTACCACTTGAATTCTTTCCACTTCACTTCACATCTTCATTCTTATCGTAATCGTACTCCTAATTTTTTAAAATTTTTAGACAACACTTGACATTTTAAAAACATTTTTGATTTCAATTCACTTATAAAACAATCTTTAATAATTTTGTAATTTATCCACTTCAACTCTACCCCTTATAACATTTTAATTATCGTTATTCTTATCACATATATGTATATTGACTGAGCAATTATTTAGTGCCACTTAATAACCTTTTCTGTAATATAAATACGACTGTACAGCTTGAAAATGAAGTCGTTGAAAAGAAATTTCTTCGCTGAACAAAAAAAACTGTTTTTATTTGCAATATTGACATTTATTTAAGGTCCAACAAGCAAGTGGAATCAAATCAAGTTCAATAAGCGATGCATAAGCTGTTATTACGCCTATTCAAAGGATGATGCAATTTGGTAAGTGTTACACGAGCCTTTTAAATCCAGTCCATTAATGCAGATATCGAATTGCCAAGTGAGATATGATACAAGCTTTCTAATGAGTCATTCAAAGCACTAAGCAAAACTTAGACCATATGAAGGTCATGTGAACAAACAAGCAAAAGAATTTTACTGATCACACTTCATTCTAAAGCTAAATCTGCTGAGTAATTCGAACCTGCTGTCGACAAAAGGCTTACGAAAGTAGTGTATACTACAATCCAGTGCATAGTGGCTTTGTGTGTATCAACTTTGGAACCATGTAGTATTTCAGCACAGTAAAGTACGTGAACGCTGAGTTGCATTGCTGTCACCGAGGCAAAAGATTAAATAGTTCAGTGAATAACCCTTTGATAATTGAAAACTTTAGGCGCTATGTTTGAATATTAGTGCATATAGGACCACTGGACTGCCAAGTCTTAAAACCGCGAGAAGAAAATGACATCGATTTTTAAGGGACTGGTTGTACTGTTGACATGTTAAACAATGCCAGATCTACTTATCGCAACCTGCATAAATACCCAATCAGTCAGTACACTACCTGACTTACAAGTACTGATACTAAAACATAGATGAAAAATAAGGCCTCAGTCATTTTAAAATATGGTGTGATGAGCAGTATAGAATAAAATGTTAAGGTTTGTTCAGAAGAAGAGATTTTAGGACTTATCTAGATAGTATAACTGAACTACTACAGACTCTACGAATTTGCGTGTTGTCACCACAAAAGAAAGGCACACAATGGCGTCCTAGCCTGGTTAGATGCATACCCACTAAAAGTAAATCTTAAGATATCTAAAGCATCCACAAGTGGGCTAGACGTCTATTGAGTTTCAAGTTTGGTCACGGAACCGTTGAAAAGCAGCAGGGAGTACTGGATAGCTGGTTAATCCTAGTTTCGAAGACTCCAGCAGTACGCAACCAGTTTGAAAAATACTCTTTTAGTATGAATTAAATGAACATGGGTTGGCAAAGAATATTCTTTTCGTGATGTCACTCCAAAACTATACACTTATATGGTGTTGCAAAGCATCAGGGAATTGGAACATCCATGTGCACATTTAAATTCACTCACTCCTGTGGTGCTAAGTATATAAGCCTTAACAGTAGGACAATGTTTAGATGCACACAAGAACAGCTCCCTATATGATTGTGTGAAAGAGAAATTAGATGAACTAATAGCTGGATTCTTGAGTGACTTGATTACATGATTTCTTCGGTTAGATGTCACTTCATCATGAAATCCTGAAACCAATCAGATCCCTGCAAAATAACATTTGATCTATTTATTCTACATCTAGGCTTATGCTGGCGGTCTGGAGGTGCACAACAGATTCTTCGGTTTAATACTACAAAGCATATGATATCACTCACGTTTTTCATATTGAGAAAAGTCAAGTAGTACTCAATATTTATTTCACTTAGACAGGTAATTGTCTAAAATTTTATAATCACCATATTGAAACCTTCATATTGATTATTATTCACTACTTCACTTATCGATGAAATCATCTTCATAGGCAGTAAAAGCGTATTCATATTTAACAAAAACATAAACCAGGGTAGGTGGGTGAAGCAACTGATACAATTACTCAGAAGTGGATTCTAAGGGTGAGAGGGAATTACGTAATAATCAGTGACACAGACGAAGTGAAAGTCTGAAATTCGATAGGGTGAAAAACTGTTATTAGACAAAAAACAAGATGGTTGAGTGTATCCACTTGACAGGTGTGAAGACGGTGAGAAAAAACTTGGTAAATTGCAAAATAGGAACAGAACATGTAGGACTGACTACAGTGAATCACCTTAAGACCATGGCAGAATAAGAGACTAAATAAACCTTTTCTGCACACACACACAGAGTTCAATGGTTACATTAAGGAATAGTTAGTGTCTGCGCCCTACATAAGTGTCGAAACCTAAGACCGCTTATACCACTAGGTTTCACTCTGTAGACAATTTTAAGGGATAACTCTGGTGGAGCTGTGTGGTGTGAGTTCACTAGGTGCTGCATTAAAGGTAATCACAGGCGTTGAAACGTAAATACGATATGACTATTGGATCGCAAAAGGCACTTCACATCTTCATGATATCTTGTCCTAAATGACTGTTTGATTTTACAAGTAGAACTTTGGATAGAAAAGCAAATTCTTCAAGTCATTACACTCTACAAACCACACAAAGGTAAACAGAAGAGAATAGAAAGCTATCCATAAGGATTACAATAAGTATAACTGTACGGGAGGAAGGATAGTAACATGGAAACACATGATAACTTAATGGACCTGTTTAACTACTAATGGAGAACACATCTGCCCCGCTGAGAATGATTTTAGGCCATATCACCAGTAATCTCCAGCCATTAGTTCTTAGCACCGCGAAGAGTCCAACCAGGTAACCTATTATACCTCCATAAGTGACTAGCTCAAAGCAACACTCAAAGACTTCATTGATTGACTCCATGTTTTGATTTGACTATCTCACAACTCTTTTACAACCTAATTTTATGTTAGATAATATTACTTGTCAAGGAAGACCGTGGTCTTGTCGTAAAATGATGGAATAAGCACAGAAGTTTTGCAGTCTATAGACTTCATTATGATTCCAAGGACAATAAAATTAGTTATAATATAAGAAATTAAAAAGAAACCGGATTGATGAGATAACGAACTTACCATTCAGAGTGATTTTCTGACCTGGTGCATATTTAATCGCCATAGCAATTAATGCTATATAAGAGTAAGGTGGCTTCGATGGAAATAGACAGGAATTATTCCCCGGTAACATTCGCAGCATATGATCCATATGCTCAACATCATTCGGCTGCGTTTCCAGGTGTATATGTTTACTGTTCACTTTACCATGGATATGTGTTGTTGGTGTAATTGTTGTTGACATCATCGGTGTAGGTGTTGTTGGATTGTTACACTTGTCATTATTTATCAACCCGCATGGGTTAGACCATATTAGAGGAGTTGCGGTAGTGACAGGATTTGAATGACTGTTTGTGGGAGGGTGTAGGCTTCGATTGGCTGATTCACACATCACCATCATCATAGTCCGCATATCTTCGTTCACAATATTGCTGTTATTATTATTATTATTACTGGTAACTGAGGCGTATGCTTGGTTGGAGAGGACTTTCATCATCACAGATTTATACTGTTCACTGAATAATTTCCAATTGGACATGATCAGCTGATTGAAATCAGCAGTTGTTGTGTTAGGAATGTTATGATTCAAAAGACTATTTGCAACATTCTGTAACACATTCAAAGATGATAGATCACGTGATGAGAAGAGATCATGAAAATTCGCTGATGTTATATTATGATTTATAAGGCTAGTATTATCATTATGGGTATATTCACCCATTTGTAGCGGTTGGGCATTGACAGCACTACTAATATTTATGATGCTATTCAACAGGGAATTATGTTCCATTATTACTACTTCGTACGATAATCCAAGTCAGCTGTGATGCGTGCCGTTATTCGTAAGTATTAAATTAGATTAATCAATCTCTACAGCTGAGTATACAAGATTTGGCGTCGAATTCACCTCTTTTATTGGTTACTTTACTTTCTTACCTAATTAACCAATCACATTTTTTAAAAGTTATTTATTTATTTCTCGACCAATAGGATTTTTCATTATGACTGAATTAGCCAATTATAATGAAGGGATGGCTAGAACACTTTAGATAATTTTCCTAGTGGGTATGCTCATGCTGTGCATATGTATGTGCCATGGGTGTGAGCAGTTGAAAGTCTGAATAAGAAGGACATACAGTGACCAAGCTCACTAAATTACAATATTTTTTGGTTGCTTGGCATTTTAGGGAACTGAATTGTTTTTTGCTCAGGAAAAAAACAGTACATAATTACGAAGCTACAGTAAGCCCCATAGAGTACAGTAAAAACCAGCTGAGTTCTTGGGTGCTTGTTACTTCTCAATTAGTGAATATTTCCCATCCAAGTAGTAATGGAAACAAATAATTTTTTAAATGTGTAAACAGGGATATTTAAATTACTGAAATCGTTTGAGAACTATTTTGAGTTGAAGATCACCACTGAGTATCTGAAGTATAGCGCAAAACTCAGTGAAGCTAAGATTTATCCATGAATGCTTCGAAATAGGTCTCTACCCTAAAGCTTACTGGAAATCATTGCTTCATTCAAGAGTAAGACCAAAAGCAGGAAAACTTAAGCGTCATGCTCTCAATCAGATTGACTTTTTGAAATCATTTGCACTGAGCTGACAAAGAATACTGTAGAGAGACACTCCCTGGTGTAAGAACTTCCAGACGATTTGAAGCAACTTTTCTGGTAATATGTGAACAATACTGTTAACAGAAGAAAAGAAAATAGGCGGACCAAGGATATTCGAAGCCTGGACAGTCGAACAAATGAAGCACGTCTTCCGTCTAATCTGTAACCTCATGCTTACAATTTTTCTAATGTTGTTCTTGATACGATGGACTTAGAAGCCCTGTCTTTCGGTCTTAAATTTTGTGATAGTCGTATAAAAGTCAATAAAATGGACATAGAAGTTCAAATAAAAAAATAAACTGAAGACTCAGTGCCCTCATCAGATGAGAAGGTTAACAAATTTGAGTCAAATTCTTCTTAGCAACGCTAAGAGTAGTGTTTTGCGGTCGTCCGTCGATCTGCAGAAGCCTGAAAGACGACATCTAGCATCTAACCACTTCTATGTGCATATATCAGTTCACCTCCTGCTGTGGAGCCAACTACATTGGTCGTCCAACGTATATCCTGTCTAAAAGGATTAAAAAACACTATCCCTCATGGTTACAGAAAGGCAATTGTGGCACCATAAGCAGTGCGACAATCGAACACCTTGTCAACACTCGTCATTCCATCTCAACAAACACCTCCTTCAAAGTAGTCCACAAAGTGAAGGAAAACTTGACGAAGACTCACTTTCGTCTCCTCTGCATTACTGATGATCTAGTCATTCAGATGGAGAAACCGGAGTTATGCATTTAGAAGAAAATCATCCAACCACTTCAAGTGCTATGGCAACGACCCTGTTTATTTCTGCAGACTTGATGTTTGTTCGTTTGTTTGTTTTTCTAGCTCCTTATAATCCCTGTATTTGATTGTTTGGAGGATTTCATCAGAAGATGACATCAGTCAGAGTAGCAATGGTTTGCCTCCAACCTATCAAACAACATTCTTACAGAGCCACTGCGTGTAAAACCCTTGTATTTCTTTAAAACTTTTGAGTAATTCAATATTTTTTCTTTCGTTTATATGTTCATCCTGATCACAACACATTCGTCAAATTATTCATCTTATTACACGATTACAATATGCTTATTCAACTTCCTTTATGAATTGACTAACATTGGAAACTATTTTTTAATAACTCATTACCCTTACCTTCATACTGGTCTTCATCCATCTAGTTACAATTTGACTATTCATCACGTTTTTTGAAATATTTTGATGGCGTAAACAACGACCCTAACTGATTTTTTTTATTCTTGTTTGACGAAGCTAATGTACACACACAAGCAAGAAAAAATTTACACATAATTGTGATTGTACAGCTAAGTGAATGAATTCGCCTTCGGAAAGAGACTCTTCATTCATGTATGGATGGAGATTATTCATGAATCAAATTTTCTGGACTGCTGTTATAAATACACGAATAGTGGATGTAATTCGAATGGTATTTTAGCCAAAAGAGACAAAGAGGTTTTAAAGAAACTGAAAGTAGATGAGAATGTAGTGATTTTCAGATCTGACAGAGGCTCAGGAGTCTTTGTTATGGATAAGTCTAGTTGCTTAAGCAAAACGATAACTCTATTAATTGATGGTATTGGACTTCAGGAATTGTCAACCGTCAGACACACAACAGAGAAGACTGAGAAACAGTTAACACAGTCTTTAAAAATAGTTGAAACAACAAGGCCATATTTCATCAGCTTTTTATGAAACTCTAAGAACTTTCAGCACGGTGACATCTAGGCTACACGACTTACAAAAGATTCGCAAAAACGGTTTGTCGCTTAGACCGTTCCTCAGTATGACTAGTTCACTGTACCCCATTCAACTTGTAAGTGGCTGGTGCAACGTTCACAGCCATTGCACAAAAACTCGTCAAATGTGGAGTAAAAGACAGTTTCGAGTTTGTGGAAGAAATTAGGGAATTAAATGTGAAGGATGAGTATTTGGAATCTCTGGATGTGTCTTCCTTACTCACCAAAGTGCCTCTGATGGAAACACAGGACTACTTGTGTAATGAATTGATAAAGCAATGTGTGAAGACTGGCACTTCCACGTCTTCCATAAGGAACTGCTTTTAAGGTGTATGATCAACGTACACTTTCTGCTCCATAGGGAGATGAATAAGCAGTCAGATAGCGCTGGAATGCAATCACCAATGGGTTCAATCCTAATGAACTTATTCTTGCTGAAACTAGAGAATTGATCTCTCAAAGATGTAGTACAAAATTCTGATTTCTGTTGCTGTTATGTTATAGATGTGAGGATAGAAAGTTAAACAAAGGACATATTAGAGGAATTCAGTAAAGCACATCCTGGCATAAGCTTCACTAAAGAAGAGGAAGAAAAAATGACTCTATCTCGTATTTGGACGTCCTAATGACTAAAAGAACAGACGGAACAATATGTAGACGATTGAATCGGAAACCTCCCTATCAGGTCCAGTGTTAGCCGATTTCTTTCTGAATAAACTAGAAAATGGTCCTTTAAACAAACTTATCATAAAATTCCCATTTTATTGCCGGTGTATGGATGGACAGGGATGCAAAAATATCTCAATTCAGTTCAGAGAAGTGCATTCAATCATTGAATTCACATGTGAAGAGGAATCCCAAAGTAAAATTGCCTATTTAGACATCCTTCTGACATAAAGACAAGACGGTAGTACAAAAGTTAAAATTGCATAAGAAAAGTACTTTGACCTGTCTGTATACACATTTTCACAGTTTTTGTTCCTCTCCGATATAAAGGAAATTTGATAAAGACCCTCAGGTATAGGATCAGAGCTATTTGCTCAGAAGATGCGAATAAAGACAAACTTAACGTTGTATAAGACACATTAAGTGAAAAAAAACTCTCCTGAAAAGTTTATCACTAAACACACTGTCAAGACACCAGAAAAGAATTCTCCTGTATCTGTTAACAAGATGCCTCTGTATATACGAATGCAACTGAAAGGTGTTATACCAAGTGATATAATATCCAAAGAGTTGAGAAAATCGATCCAAAGAACGTCTAATACTGCTAAACTACAGCTGATATTTTCCACACAACCAGTTGTGATTCCGAAACTGAAAGATGAAGTACCAGGGCTAGCTATATCTTTCTGTATCTGTCGACTTCACTGTTCCCGTAGCGTCAGGTATATATAGACTATTGCTCTAGGAACTGCATTTTTCGTGCTCAGAACACCTACCAGTGTGATTAAATAAAGGTGTTATTAAAGCTATCAACAGTTCTATATCAGATCATCTCGTCCAAACAGGCCACAAACAGTCTTTATCATCTCCTGGGTACCGAATAAATCACCAATGGCCTTTAGATACCAAACAACCTAAACAGTAGAGGGAATTGCAATTCGCTTAAATCAACCGTGCAAAAGAAACGCATTCAGCCATTATTGCTACCTTGACTTGTTTTCTACCCTATCAGTTCATAAATTCTGTGTGTTACTTCCCTTAATTTATCTGAAATTCATTTGTGTTATATTAAGGCATGCTATTTCTTACGCAACTTCATCGAACAGTACATAGAATGGCAGTCAAAGCTCTCTCTCCCTCAACTTCATCGACCTCGAAAAGGACTTCGATAGACAGCGCTGACCGAGAAGTAATTTGGAAACTGCTTCAACACTAAGGCATGCAGTGCTCAAGTCTTAATCAAACTCACTCAACAGCTGGCTACATGACAGTGCCACGTGTCAGGTGATTCATAACGGAAAACTCAGCGAGGCGTTCGAAGTGAATACAATTGTAAGACAGGGCTGGCCTCCTATTATCATCGATGATGATATTCTTAATTGTGGTGGGCTGGATTATGCGGAAGATAGTGTGTGCGGAGAGAGGAGGCAGGAATACGCTGCACAGCCCGATAAGAAGATTCTAGAAGTCCTGGATTTCACGGATAATTTATATCTAATATTACACAAACTCGAAGACTTGCAGGCAGGCGAAAATAAAAAAAACTGGCAGAAGTATCAGGTGACGAAGAGAGGACTCCAGGTGAACACAGAGAGAAGATGGAGGTGATGAAGATAACCAGCCAACCAACAGCAACAACCAGCACCAATCACCATCAACGGGAGAGATTTGACAGAGGTTACCTCCTTCACTTAGCATGGTTTCACCCACATGCAGTCAGAACCGATGAAGATGGAATGCGAAAGACAAGATACGCCTTCATCAACGTGAAACCAGTTTTGAAATCTTGTGCACTCATCATAGACAACAAGATCCGGATTTTCAATACAAATGTGAAGTCAGTTGGTTCTTGT